TGGCTTGGATTTTAACATCAACAATGTCTCACTGAACACCCAAGTGGAAAATATCTCACTTCACTACATATTGTAGAAGTATAGTTGTTTGCATCACTACAAGGATTGACAAGAGTCTAATCTTTTGAGAAATGTTTAAAGATAAAAAGCCAAAGTGGCAAAATGGTTTGAATGAGATTGATTGACTTTTAGTCTTTTCACAAAAAAAAAATGTCAAGGTATTATTAAATTGATTGAAGTTTATTTATGAAAATATTTTTTTTTAAATGCATGGACATAAGTCCAAGTTTATTATGAAAGTGTTTCAAGTTTAGAAACAAGAAGAGTTTTCAAAAGGAGGGAGAAGATTTTTGAAATTAAAGAAGATGGGAGGAGAAGAAGAGGCTATCCTAAAGCATAAGATAAAAGTTAAGGACATGGACCATCTAACCAACAAGAAGCCAAAACTTAACATTATGAGTCAAGATAGAATTCACATTCTTTGGAGTGAAACCAAGCAAGCAAAGATACTAGACCTCTTCAAATGTATTAAGTCTTCACAAAAAATTGGGCAGAGTAACGGTTGTATGCAGGTGAATTACAGATTACAAACAAATAGTGTAATCACAAAAATCTGCACACAAAAACAAACAAGCAACCCAATGTCTTGAGGTAAACCTCAAGAGCTCCAGACAAAATAATCAGATAAGATCATAAGGTATCCAAGATAGGCCAAAGTTTCTAATCCTAAGTCCAAGAAAAAGTCCACTGCTCCACCATGCCAAGGATAGTAACCAAATAGTCCAAGTACCATTAAGAGTTTTTTAGGGTTTAAGTTGGTTATTAAGTATCTTAGAAAAAGGAAAAATGGAAAGCTCAAGTGAGCAAAGTAAAAATGACAAGAAAATAAATGCTCAAATGAGCAAAGATGAAAATGGCATGAAATGTAAAAATGCTAAAAAAAATAAATAGTGCATAAAGCATAAAAGAATAAAAGCATAACATAAAACAAGTCAATAATTAGTGGTTAGTTGGATGACCATCTTGAAACTTGCATTTGAAACTCATTAGAGAATTGGTAGAACCAAAGCCTCCACACAACAAGTTGCATTTGCTTTTTGTCAAGTATATCATCCATTTGAAATTCTCACAAGTACAATTTAATGATCAACGATGTTTAAGTGATCCGCGTTGACCAAAGGTGTTGTAGATCCATTAGACGATTGGTAGAACCAAAACCTTCACACAATGAATCTCAAGGTTATTGAATCAAAGAGATCAAATTAACATACTTGGGCTTGCAATCATAAGTTTGGACCATGAATGATCATTTATTCGAATTGAGACAAAATTTAGTACTATGTTAAACAATCGTAAGTGGACTTATATAGAAGTCGCACCTACTTTGAGGCCGGTCAATAGCAATCTATGCACCATTTGTTTTGAGACATGATATAGAGATCATGCTTTAACAACATTTAGTGCAATAAGAAGGGGATGAGATGAAGAGGAATTAGGGTAAAAAGAAAAACCACATTTAAATTAATATTTAATCAAACTATTATTAAAATCATTCATCCATTTTTGTGGAGTTAAACTCAACACCATGGATCCAATGATGTTAATAAAGCCATGACAAAAAAATCAACCCAAGACAGCCAGAAAATATTCACAAAATAATAATACAATTAATATATTCATTAAAGGATTTAAAAATGTTTTTAAAAAATAGAAAATAATGAAGAAAATATCAATTATATTCAAATTAATCTAAAAATGAAAAATAAGACCATAGAAAAATCAGAAAAGAGGCCAAGTAATTTTACAAAAAATTTGGGAATTTTTAAAAGTCAGAAACTATTTTTAAAAATTAAAATAAATGGGTTAAATAAATAAAAATAGTAAAAAATAGCAAAGTCAGAAACAAAAATAAAACAAGGTCACCAATATTTGTCACAATATCATTGGATCATTCTATAATTTTTTCAAAATTTAAAAATGTGTAAAAGTATTTTTAAACATTTTAAACAAATCAAATAAGTGTAAAAGTTATAAAAAATATCAAAACACAAAATTAAATTGTGAAAAATAAAAATCAGAAAGAGAATAATCAAAAATATTTTTCATAAATTTTTTAGATTTTTTTGACTAAAAATGAATTTTCTATGATTTTTTGAAATTTAAAACAATTAAAATATAAAAATCAGAAAAAGAAAATAAAAGAAAAAGATGTGGACCATTGGATGAGAGTCAAAACGCGTTAGTAATCAAATTCAAAGGATCTGGCACGCTGTGCATATCATGGTCTTTAGTGAATAAAACACTGAATCAAATGTAAAATCAGAAATTTAAAAAAAAATACAAATGGCACGCTTTAATTGGTTAGCAGATGACACGTTGGTCATCTTCAAGCTCCAGCCTTCACGAATTGCAGGTCTCTCAAACTGTAAAATCAGAAGCTCAGACTTATGTCATTCGCTTCGTCTCTTCAAGACGAAGACAACCACACCCTCGCGCCAAATTTATAAACTGTAACTCAAGTAATTTGGAAAGAAAATTTTGAAAAGGGATTTGAAAATTCATGGTCAAAATGTGCTTCCAGATAAAAGTAAGTGTTGCGAGTAGAACCAGGGCAATGAGAGCAACACAATGATACCAAAGTTTTGAAGAATTGATGAAGGAATCTACCTATTGAAGTTGAGTTGTAGAGCTCTGAAACTGGACTTCTATGGAGCAATATAGGGCACGATTCTCGAATGTGATTATATGGTTAGCTTTAGGGAAGATCAAGGAAGGTGAATTGATGAAAAAAATGGATTGAAAAAGGCTTGAGAATAGGATTCGAAGTGGCTGAATTCTGAGTTGTGAAGCAAGTTTGGCAGGGTGATTCTGGCTATCTAAGCTTGGGAAATTGAATGGGAGATGACCCTCTATTTATAGGGAATCAAATGGAATGCTCAAGTGTGTGAAATGATGCAAATTGGAGGGAAATCGTGTGAACCTGATGCACGAGCAAAGTGTGATTTGATTTGCATCAAAACTCATCAAATCCTTGTGTTTCAAGGCTCTAATCCACTTTGGCAACTTGTTTAAACATGTTTAAATCATAAACGTGTGCTAATTTGATGTTTAAAGGCCAAAACATGGATTTCAAATTCTGACTTATGGTGAAACTTCAGTTTCAAGTTACCAAGTTCAATCCAATGGCATTTCCACCTCTGGGGGTCTTATGGCAAAAAAATGTATGCTTTGAAAAGATGAGGTAACAAGCTTTGCAATGGAAAAATAATGGAACCAAATGGATGCTTGAGCTGAAAACTACATGGAGTCAAAGTTGAAGAAAAAGAGTTGACTTTCCATACTTAGAAATATTTTAAATTCTTAAAAAATGACCTATAATCTCTTGCATCCAAACATGGTCTTCCACTTCGAATTTGCTCTTGACCAAAAAAGATGGAATGGAGTAGATCTCTTGAATGACATTTTGCAATTTGAACCATTCAAAATATCCAAAAATTGAGCAAGTTATGACTTGTTGAAGTTGGCCAAAAATCATGAAATGACCTATAATCTCTTACATTCTTAAGGCAACTTCCATCCATTTTCTTACTTTGCACATAAAATAAGGCATGAAATACACATCCTTAGGGTTATCGTGAAAAAATAATGGGCTCAAGGTGATAAAAATTGACCAAGTTATGACCATTTGAAGTCACATAGGGAAAATGAGGGATTCATCTAGATGACTTGTAATCTTTCTTCTTCACCAAGTTCCTTCCACATGAAAACTCCTTGAAACTTTTGAAGTGATTTGTTGATAACTCTTTGAAGAGAAGAATGTATTTGGAATCACTCAAAAATACCAAAAGATGAGCAAGATATGACTTGTTGAAGTTCAAAACCCTAGCCTCTAGATCAAGAGAATGCTTGGTGGAACTTTGCCAAGTTTGAACAAACTTTTTGTGCCAATATTCTTCCTTTGTGAATAGAATTTGTTGAGGATGATGATGAGGACTCATAGCCACCAAAACTATTTCCATACCAACTTCAAAATAACTTGAATGATGAAGTTTGAATCTCTCAAGACTTTGACTATGGCATGGAAATAAACTCATGAACCCATGATGCAACTTGCTAAACCTCATTGCCTTTACCTACATTATTAACAAGTAAGACAAATCAATATTGTATTTTGTTAATTTAGAGAGAAAATCAAAGCAAAATATCCATGATCACCAAAGAAAACAAGTCAAGGTGCTTGGTAACTCCTCAAAGAACAAGGCTAAAGATAAGGAGAAGAACCAAAAACCCTAATTTGATTTTATGGTGATTGAAACAATATGGTATGATGAAGGGATCTTAGAGGTAAAAATTAGGGTAAAACATAATGCATCATATATAGATAATACATTCATTTTCCAAATGAGCCTTTTCATAATTTTCATACTCACTTCATTGATTACAAAGTCTCTAAGAAAGCTTTTTGGTTAATTGAGGTGATAAGTGTCCTTTTTTCTTAAGTGTTTGAGGATTCAGTAGCAAGAATGAAAAGGAGGGAATATAACCTGTAGGATTAAGTTTTAAGTTTTTACAAGTTACACAATTGAAATAAAAGATAGTTTTTTGTTTAAATTATTTGTAGGAAAAAAAATGAGAGTTCTTAAATATAAAGAGAATCATATTTCTTTTAACAGCTCCTACCCTATTCGGTTAACTTTTTCATTTTTCGCATGACACTCGTTAGTGTCACCGACATCAAGAGAAAAATTCCCATGACACTTTTTTGCATCTACAGCCATATATGTAACCAAACCATGAACAATCCTCTTACCAATATAGTTGAGACAGTGGAAGTTGAATTAATAACTTGGTTGATACATTGTGATAAATCTCACTTTTAATAATTAGATACCATTATTCTCTACATTATATAAAGTCTGCATGCGCCTTTGTTTTCATTCCATCTCAACTTCTTCTGTTCATCATTTCTTCTTTAAAATTTCCGCTTCATTGATCTAAAGATGAAGTTTCATTTGTTTCACATTATTACTTTTCTCATGGTGAGTTACAACAGCTCCATAAACTCAACCACTTCCATTTCTTCAAATAGTTATGATATTATATGTCTCTATTTTTGCTTGTAAAAAAATGGTTACTAATGTTAATATATTCTCAAATGCAGATTGTGATAGTGACAACTAATGCTGAAATATTACCACCTCAACTTTACTGGAAGTCTGTACTCCCCAACTCTCCAATGCCAAAAGCCATCACTAATCTACTTCACCCTAGTTAGTACCATACTCTAAAATTGTTTTTGGGTCAAAGTAAAAATTTCTATTACACATTTTTAATTAATTTAATTTACTGTTTCTATATGAAGGTGGATATTGGAGTGAAGAGAAAGCAACATGGGTGGATGTAGGGAAGGGTGGTGTAGATGTTGGAGTGAGAAAGGGCTACAATGAAGGAGGTGGAAGTGATGTGAATGTTGGAGTTGGACATTCTGATTCTCCATTTAATTACCTTTATGCAGCAAGGGAGACTCAATTACATGATAAACCAAATGTAGCACTCTTCTTTTTGGAAAAGGAGTTGCACCATGGAACAAAGTTGAACTTGCAATTCACCAAGACCACTTCAAATAATGAAGCTATGTTCTTGCCTAAACAAGTTGCTAATTCGATACCCTTTTCATCAAACAAGGTGGAATACATACTCAATAAACTAAACATCAAGAAAGGGACAAAGGGTGCTCAGATTGTGAAGAACACAATCAGTGAGTGTGAAGAACAAGGCATCAAAGGAGAAGAAAAGCTTTGTGTTACATCATTGGAATCTATGGTTGATTTCACTACTTCGAAACTTGGAAACAATGTTGAAGCTGTTTCAACAGAAGTGAAAAAATACAGCAGTGAATTACAACAATATGTAATAGCTAAAGGAGTGAATAAATTGGGAGAGAAGAACAAAGTTGTTGTGTGCCACAAAGAGAATTATCCTTATGCAGTTTTATACTGTCATAAAACAGACAAAACTAAAGTTTACTCAGTGCCATTGGAAGGTGTTGACGGAAATAGAGTTAAGGCTGTTGCGGTTTGTCACACTGATACATCACAATGGAATCCTAAACATTTGGCTTTTCAAGTGCTTAAAGTTAAACCAGGAACTGTTCCAGTTTGTCACTTCCTTCCACAGGATCATGTTGTTTGGGTTTCCAAGTAGAAACAAACAAATCCCACTGGTGACATTGATGAATATTTATGTGATTTTAACAGAATAAAGTGAACTATGAAATTAATCCTAGTACTTTATAACTACTGCTTTGTTTTACTTCCTCTGTTGTAGGTTTGCCATATTTATTATGTATTATTGCAAATATGATATTTGTTTTACTTTTACAGTTTTAGGTATGCTGTATCTGCTCTAATGTATTACATATGTGCTAAATATGATATAGTGAAACTTTATTAATCATTTGGGTGAAAATTATCTTAAGATTTTCAGATTGACTAAAAATGTTTTCACTTCATTATAGTTAAGTGTGTTCTGTTTATACTAAAACAATCTCATCTCAAGATGTCAGTATATCCAAAACAATTCAGTGATCAAGTAAAAAATGTAAACTTTTTCCTCGACTTTTCCATTTGGGTACATTACCAAATAAGAATTTGGAAAGTGCTTTAAATGGAAGCTTATTTCATTATATACATTTATGGGAAGCCAATGTTCGAATCAATATACAAAACAAACTTTTGGTTATCTTACCCTATAGATCAAAAATGCTGTAAAGAATGGTGGAAGGTAACTACATTGCATCTTGCTGTACATTGAAACTAATTCCACTCCAAAAACTGCATACCTCATCATGATAATTGAGTATTCTGGGGCACTTGATATTTACGCTGCTTCCAGGTTTCAAATCATTGAATCAATTATGGCGAATGCACCACCCAACATCAACAAATATCTTTTTACACTGTCATGAATAAAGATGGTTTGGGTGCTTCAGGATTCAGCCATGGGAGTGTCAGCCTTGAATTTATCGGGTGCAAATGGCTCCAAGGATCCCCATGTTCTTCCAACCTTTAATTTGACATTCAGAGGAACTGCAGACGCATATGTGTAAACAGTGAATATGTGATTTGACCATACAGTCAGAACCTCAATTACTTTTACCAATCTATATCTTCAACCAAAAAGAATAATCTGTTTAAGGAATACGAACCAAGAAGTGATACTGCATTCTCCATGCTGGTCTGCAACAATATTGCAGCTTCTTTCACCACAGAGGGATCAACTTCCAGCACTAATTCATCGTGTACCTAGTTAACATTTACTTAAAAGATTAAAACAAAGAAAAAACATCAAAAAAAATTAGAGAATACAAATCATTTAAAACTAACCTGTAACAGAATCCGGCAACGATTTCTAAGCATGTGGAACTTGGTTGCACCTGAAGAACTTGACTCCAGGCTATCAACGCCAGTAGCAATTTCAGAGTAAATTTTAATCATTGCAATTTTAATTATGTCGGCAGCAGATCCCTGGGAGAAAGAGAAGGAGACAGCATAATAAATGAATTCTGTTATCTCTGGAGGAAACACTAAAATGAATACTGATATCTTTGAAGGAAACCTCCCGATTTAGAAGAGGAAAAAAATATATAGTACACCTGACATATGGAATTGACAGCTTGCCTCTGGGCTCTTGATTTTTCTGTACTGCTGCCAAATTTTATTTTTGACAAAAATCGTTTCCTTCCCTTGAGAGTCTCCACATATCTGGATCAGAGTTTTCTACATTATTAGATATAGAGATCCCAATTTAAGGAAAGAACAGGTGACATTTACAATAGGAACAAATATTTGAAATACCAATAAAAGCAATCAGTTTGTCAAAGAAAAAGATAAATCAGCAATATAATCATTCAAACTAAAGAGTATATGATGCTTAGATAATTGTCATCATGGTATCCTGCTAAAGGAATGAGTTAGGATGTGTAAAAGTGCCACAAAGCCCCCTCACCCTTTACTGCGACAAAATGCAACAGCTTCATGAAGCCAAGAAGCAACACCAGGAAAAGTGCTTTTGAAGTTACTAATCCTTTCGGCAGCTTCATCCAAAGTGCAATCCATTTGTTCTGCAAGGCTATTTGGACCCATACCATAAAGAATTCCATACACCATCTTTTTGGTCTGCTCTCTCTGCTGAGAACCAACTGAAACCTCAGGACACCCAATCCATCTTGCTGCTATCATTGTGAAGACATCTCCATCAGGCTTACTCAGAAGCTCTACAAGTGAAGAGTCTTTAGAAAAATGTGTCATCAACCTTAATTCTATCTGAGAATAATCTGCTGTTAACAGTAACCAATTATCCTGCAGTCAAAAGAGATATATAAGAATACAACACAAGTAACCAAATATAAAGCACAAAACTGGAAAGGAAAAAAAATATATAAGATCTAAATGACAGGTTCAAGAATTTAGAAAAGCTTACATTAGGAGGCATAAGCAGAATCGAAAGACATTTTGTTAGAGCATGCGTGACTAGTGTCAAGTTGTTTGTTTGTAAGAGGGAAGAAAAATAATTCTTAAAATTATGGCTTTGCCTAACTCAACCTAATAAATCAGATTGTAAGGTGATGATTGTCCAAGTTTTATAAACACTAGTGTTACACTACACGGGTCATATCTCTAGGCAGTGTGGGACTAACACCCCTTCATACCGAACACAATGAAGGTGTTGGAGTTGTAATGAAGGCAACCCAAATGCCACAGTTAGGCGACTATGGGCGGACTGCAATGAAGGAGGAATTTCCAAAAATAATTAAACTTCAAATTATTATTGATGTAAGCACTAAGACTTCTTTATACTAATACAATGCGCCAATCGGAATTAAATAAGGAAATAAATCATGATTAAGAGCAACCAACAAATAGTTAAAAAATAACCAGAGTTAAGGGCATACGTCACCTGGGTAGGAACAAAGAAGTCACGGGCATTGATTCTACAACTCTCATTAGCCTCACCTCCATTTTTATCTCCTATCATCTTAAAGTCAACTGGATGCTCAACACACTGCATTACCAAATAAGATTGTACATCACATTAGATGTAGCAGTTAGCTGAAAGAAGAAATAAACAAAATTAAAACATATCATAAGCGAACCCAAACCTGAAGATTTGGTTCCTCCATCGAAAGCCGTCCAGTTGCTGTGGATGTCTGGAGCCAATGACCATGTAAGGTATACTTCTGTGTGCTTACAGATAGCCTAGCCAGAGAACAAATTGATCCTAGTGTAGAGTTCAGGAGCTTTGCCAGTGTACGGTGCTCTTTGATGATTGGAACAATGGGATGTTCATGCCTGAAAATAAACACTTATTAAAAAAACTGCATTCAATCAAACAAGTACTTACTGAGGTACATACAGAACTTAAGGACAAGTGGCGTTAAAAGAAGCTCAGTTTTCCCTCCACATACCCTTTTGTAGAGTGGAAAAACCATAGACAAGGACAATCTTTGTTCAAAATGTAACTAGAGATGAGGACATTTTACTTTGCAAATCTAGGGACTGGTGTTATTTACTCTTCTACTTATTTACTATAGAAAAAAAAAAAGACATCCATCTCCTCTAAGAGAAGTTTAAATTACATTTGCATTCCTTCTTATTTTGAAATATATATTACACATTATGAATACGAATGAAACATCAAATCATAAAAAATCATTCTATTTAGTATGGATCTAAGAGAAACAAGAGGGAAAAGGAAACTTTCTCAATACCGTAAGGCATCCAAACAGTGTTTGTCAGTGCTTGGATGGTTTTTCCCCTTATTTTTTCCATCAGGAATCGGCAGTTTCAAGTGTTCATACAGCACCTTAGCAATATCTGCTGGCATATTCAATGAAAACGTCATTCCAGCCAGTTTGTAAGCTTCCTTTTCAAGTTGCTTCAGCCTTTTCACCAACAATTTCCGAGCCTGGATGCACCTCTCCAAATCAACACCAATTCCCCAAAGCTCCATGTCAGCAAGAACATTCACCTAACAGCATGTGTAAAAGTAAGCATCAAATATTTCAAATGTATTCTGTTAAGATCCCACACTGTCCAGGTATGAAATCATACTAGTAAACGATAAATTAACTTTGGTATAGTTAATGATATTCCCGACCTTATCATGTTGAGTCACACATCAGATAATATATGACCTGAGCATATGTTTATAAGTGGGGGCAATCCTCACTTTACAAGCCGGTTTGTAAGGTTTAGTTATGCCCAACCCAAATTCTAAAATGGTATCAAAACCTATTCAAGATCCGCTGTAAGGTTGAGTTAAGCCAACCCAAATTCTTATTGTCTTTTCTGACAGCATCGAAGACATATTAAAGAGCAAAATAATATAAGGACAACAAAAGATAAAAGAGTCTTTCAAAATATAACATTGGATCGTGCCCACCAAACTTTAACAAATCCTTAACTGTTTTAAGCTATATATAAATAAAAGTCTCGAAATTAAAATAATATGCACTTTCCACACAGAAGCCAATTTCACCTATTAGTCATATTATTCTGGTTTGATTACATTTGTTTCATTTGACTTTTTTACTTTAGATTTCATGCAACGTTAACACAATATGAGGCATTTTTATTGAAGTTTTGCACTTGTAGCAGGAATTATAAACCTTAAATATAAAACTCACACAAAAAGATCAAGTTGCGTAAAATGAATGTTTAAGAACAAAAGAAGATTGAAAATAACATCAAACACGACATCGCTTTTCTTTAAATGTACTGAAGTTTCATAGATTCTCTTACCAATGGGATTTCTATTTCCATAAGCACTTCTACGAGTTTCTCAGAAACAAGCAATTTCCAAAGAACAGAACATAATGCTCGTGTTTGAGCAACCCGACGGCAGCAACCATTATGAGCAGCTTTTCGCATCTGATTCCTCCACCTGCCACACTGATTAGCTGCTCCTGCATCCTCAGGGGATAACCTTTTCTTTACCTCCTAAATTACCAAATGTGATTGTTAATACTAGTACACTAAACTATCAAGTCACCACTAATTGAGAACAAAGATGTGCATGTGTGTACACTAATGTATGCAGTACAAGACGACTATTTAGGTTACCTTATCCAGGTTTGGACTAGAGCTACTCTCTTCATCGGGCCAAAGAATCCAAGCAACAATGCATACGTCAATTGCCTCTTT